CTGCCTGATGCTTCCCTGCTTCATTCACCCAGAGAGGAAAAGCACTTCTTCTTGAGCGCTTCTAAGCCTTTTGCTGAATGCCTGTCCTTATGCACGTGAATCCTTCTCAGTTTCAGTCCCTCCTTGTTCAAAATATAATATTTGCCTGAAAGCTATCAAACTCCAAAAACTACAACAACAGAAATCACAGCATGAATACATAGCATGCCATGATCTCCTACAGGTGTTACATAGCTGCAGTCTCTGGTGGGTGCAGCATTTCTTCCATGGTTATTTGCAACCCACTCCATTATTTTGAAAGTGATTTCACCTGAAGCTTGATTAAAGTTGTTACATAGCTGCAGTCTCTGGTGGGTGCAGCATTTCTTCCATGGTTATTTGCAAGGAAGAATATATACCAGCTTAGAGGAATTATATGGACAGAATTCTTTTAAGGAGAGAAAAAAACTAATAATTTTTATTCCTTCTTCTTCTCTTCAGAACCGTCCTTAACCTGTCATAAAGCTGGCACAGGAACTACCTCTTGTGCCTCTGGCAAATGCTTTGCACAGACATTAGAAAGTACCGTGGGTAAGTGCGTATGCCTTTGGGAACATGTTGTAGCAGCTTTTGGATTTCTCAAGATGGCCAAATATGGCATGCAAGATGTAAGAGGACTTTAAGATTGGGGGATCTGAGAGAAAAATGAGGCCTGCTATGGATGCATGGAGTTGCAAAAAGTCAGAGGTGTCGTAAAGTTAAGAGAAAGTGGCCCCGAAATTGAAATATGTTCCTTTGTTATCTGAAATAAAGTGCATTCTCAAATGGAGAGGTAATCTTATGACGTGCCCACTCCATTATTTTGAAAGTGATTTCACCTGAAGCTTGATTAAAGTTGCAGCAACTGCTTCACTCTTAACAGCAGTAAACCACCATTTCTTTTCAATCTGCTGGAAAAAACTACAGTTTATGTGGCTAAACCAAGAAATATGTGCCAAGCATCACTGTGTTTCTAACAAAATAAACAAGCTATATAAAATATTTTTAAAAGGAAAACCCACATTATTCAGCCTTGCATCAGCTGTTGTTTTATTTTTATGGTGGCAACACAACATTTGGCTACTGAACAACATTTGGCTAACTGTAAGAAGGGTGTTCATGTAATATTTATCCATTCTTCCTGGAAACTGATACAATAATAGTACGATACAATTATTCTGACTGTCCCTATAGAAATTACAATAGAATAGCATGTGGTAGAGTCTTTCTAACATCCTGGATGTGGGATGGGATAGCAGTAGAGTATCTACTCTGGAGAAGCACAAGGGGAAGGATGTTGTGTTTGGCCCAAGGAAATGTTTTTCTAATCCTGGGGAAGGTAAGACTATGTTAATATTTTGCAGATTCCCAAATATCCTTTGCAACCCAAGGCTTGTTGTTCTTTGACAACCTGTTGACCTCACCTTGATGCTCGGTATCAGTTCATCTTTGGGTGTTTGTTTAATCTGTTTGTATCCCAGAGCCATTACAAATGCCTCTGATAACCCAAGTGATGCTAGTTATGGTTCTACTGCCACTTTCCAGTTGGAAGAGTAATTGTCAGTAAAACCTGAAGGCAATAAACTGTTGAGAAAAACTAGGTCTTCATCCAGCAATTGACTACCAACACCCAAGCTCATACCTCAATTTTAGACGTCCTTGT